TGCAGCAAAATTTTACTTGTCTGTGATATTTAATGATTTTTTAAAAAATAATTTCCACATTCCATTGGGTCATCTTTCTTTGGAATGGGCACTAGTATGGATCTATTCCAGTTGAGTGGACTGGCCAGGTAGCTGTCTTCCAAATTTCTTGGCATAAACGAGCAAGCACTTCCTGCATTGCATCCCATTTGTTGAAACATCTCAATGGGTATTCCATCAACTCCTAGTGTGGTAGTTCAGTTTGTATGTCAACTTGGCTGGGCCTGGTTGAGTGGCTGGACAGCTGCTGGTAGTTATTTCCTATGATGAGACTGGCAATCAACTCCATGGTGGGATCTACCACAAGCAGCTGAGTAGCTGCCTTAGGGAATGTGGTCTGCTTCCTGAATATAAGCAGAGGCCTTGGGGAATGGTCTCTAGCCTATGGCACGCTTGGACCCTGCATGTAGCCTTACTGTTGTTCAGCAGACTGCCATGCTCTGCCGACTGGGGGACTTAAAATGGACTTGAATGAATGACCTGTCGTGTGGTTTGGTAACATCAGGACTGTGCCTTTTTACTTGCCAACCTTGGGGCTTGTCAGCCTCAGCAGCCAGCAGCTGTCTGAGTGAAGAAAGGCCTCTAGCTCCAGTGGGCTGGGAGCAGGAGGCAAAGCTGGACCCCAAGGTTCAGGGGCTTTCACCCAGCCCCTAGAGCCCGGCACTTTGAACTTGGACTCTAAGAGAATAAACTCCTGTTTGTTTAAGCCATCCCATTTGTGGTATATTCCTGTCAGAATGGGACCAGGAACCAGAACACCTGGAGCTTGATTTCTCTCCAGTTCCTTCAGTGCAGCTTCGACTTCTTCCTCCTGTACCACTGGTTCTCAATCCCATGCCACCTCCTGAAATGGCTGAACGTCAACTAATTCTTTTTGGTACAGTGACTCTGTGTATTCCTTCCATCTTCTTTTAATGTTTCCTGCATCATTCAATATTTTGCCCATAGAATCCTTCAGTATTGCAACTCGAGGCTTGAATGTTTTCTTCAGTTCTTTCAGTTTGGAAAATGCCAAGCGTCTTCTTCCCCTTTGGTTTTCTAACTCCAGGTCTCTGCAGGTTTCATTCTAATGCTTTACTCTGTCTTCCTGAGCCCCTTTGACATCCTCTGTCTGCTTTTCCACTTCCTCTTTTCTTCCATTTGCTTTAGCTACTCTCCTTTCAAGAGTAATCAGTCTCTTCTGATACCCATTTTGGCTATTTCTTTCTTTCCTGTCTTTTTTTTTTTTTTTTTTTTTTTTTTTAATTATTGCACGTTAGGTGCAAATTTACAGAGTAGAGTTTGTTTTACATTCAACATTTCATGTACATTTGGTTTCACTCCCCAACGACCAGCCCCAACCCTAACCCACTCTCCTTTTCACTTGTCTTTCCTGTCTTTCTAAGGACCTTTTGCTTTCTTCATGTTTGACATCCTTCATGTCATCCCACTACTCATCAGGTCTTTGGTCACTAGTGTTCAATGTGTCAATGCTATTCCTGAGACTGCAAAAGGGCATGGAGGGCGGTGTGCTCGGACCTCCTCTCATGTCACAAGGGGGAAGAAGGATTCAGAACATTAACAGCCCAGGCTGGTTCCTAGAGGCAAAGGTCAGACATGCCACCACCCTCCAATCTTCTTGCCAATTCTGACAACTGTCCCTCTCATGGCACTCTCCACTTCTCTGCTGGCTTTGATAATCTGTTGCACTGGCCACACAGAACTCACAGACACTGCTCCCGATCATGTGGTTTATTAGGGAAGTAACAGCTGACAACTTAGGATCAAAAATAAGTTAGGACTCTGTTCTTCAGTCAGGACAGCTTCTCAACTGTTCACAAGGCACGTCTTTCTCTGGCCTCAGCCTTTGTCCTGCTCGGTTGGTGTTACAAAGTTCTGTGACCTCTGCCTATAGGCACCCAAGGAAGGAGCTCTGGTGACTAGTGCCTAAGGCACCTGACTGCTAACCAGAAGGTTGGCAGTTCGCACCCACCAGCCACTCTGCAAAAGGAAGATGGGGCCAACTACTTCCGTAAAGACTGACCGCTTTGGAAACCCAATGGGGGTCACTATGAGTTGGAATCAACTTGATGGCAGTGGGTCTGGTTTTTTTGTTTGTTGGTTGGTTGGTTTGTTGGTTTGTTTTATAGGAACCTCGTTCTGCCAGCAAGCTTCCTGCCCAATGGCAGTCAGCTTCCCAGCTCCACAGCCCGGGAAGCCCGCCGCTCCATCCCACACTGGTCTCTCAGTTCTGCCTCTGTGGCTGCTGTCTCTCTGCTGTCTCAGGACAGGGATCTCGCGGCCAAAGATGTGCCCCACTTTCAGCGATTCTCTTAATGCCAGTGTGAGGCCTCTTTCTGGTCTGGGAGGGCTCATTTTAAGGCTAGCAGGATGGCAAAACTGACCAATCCCCATGTTAGGGTTTCACACACCTATGTCCATGGTCCCACCCCGACAAGGGTGCCGTGCACCTTATCTACATTATTAGCAAGCTAGCCAGTCCCCTGGGTGGGCCACAGGCACCTCACATTTGCATAGTCCCACCCAGTCATCTGGTGGGAGTCACCAAGACCACAGCTGGAAGAGCCATAGTAAGTCATTCACCACACCACAGAGGTGGTCTCTAAATGAAGGTGGGATATACTCAAGGTTGTACTTTGGCTCTCGTGAACTTGTTTCCATTTTCTTCAGCTTCAACTTGAACTTACAAATCAGCAATCAATGGTCAGTTCCACAGGCGGCCTCTGGCCTTGTTTTGACTGATGACATTATGCTTCTCCATTATCTCTTTCCACAGATGTAGTCGATTTGATCCCGTCAGGAGAGGGTTACATGTCTATCTATCATCTGTGTTGTTGAGATGTGGTATTTGCAATGAATAAAATTATTGGTCTTGCAAAATTCTATCATGCAATCTTCAAGTCATTTCTGTCACCAATTCTCTATTTTGTAACTATTGGTCCTTCTTTGTTTCCAACTTTGGCACCAAAGGATTGATGCCTTTGAATTCTGGTGTTACATAATAATATTGAATATATCATGGACTGCCAGAAGTACAACTAGAACACTTCTTAGAAGCTAAAACGGTGAGACTTGGTCTCATGTACTTCGGACATGTTATCAGGAGGGACCAGTCTCTGGAGAAGGGTACCATGCTTGGTAACATAGAGGGTCAGTGAGAAAGAAGATCCCCAGTGACTGGTGGAACCACTGAGACCATGGCCCCTAGCTGCCCTTCAGGTCTGGAATTGAACCCACACCTGTGGCTTCCAGCCAAGCAAGACAGGCATGTGAGTTGAATATTTACTTGAGGTAGATACACTCTTTGGAGAGAATAATTACGGGAGAAAGAAGGGCTGTTTATGCACAGGGAGACAGCTCAGGGGGCAGGGGTGCATGGAGGGATGGACACAGGGAAGAGGTAACTATCGGGAGGAAGTGGGAGGGGAGCTGTTGCATTGTGCTAAACTGTGGTAAATGTCATGAGACAAAGTGCATGTGAACTGCTGTATGGAAAGTGAATTTGCTCTGTAAATCTTCACCCAAAATCACAATTAAAAAAAAAAAAAAAAAAAGATCCCCAGTGAGATGGATTGACACAGGGCTGCAACAATGGGTTCAAACATAGCAACAGTTGTGAGGACAGTGCAGGACCCTGCAGTGTTTTGTTCTGTTGCACACAAGGCTGCTATGAGTGGAAGCCACGAAATCACAAGGCTCATCTCCCCAGGGGTCACCCTTCCTGCCTCTTGCTCTTCTCTCCCTGACTTAGGAGGGTGGACAGGCAGCCAAGCAGCCAGGTGGCCTCTCTCCCAGCCCCCACTTCCTGTTCAGCCCAGGGTATGCTCATTGGTCTGGCCTAATGGCATAGCTGTGTCTGCCAGCAGGGGATCCTGGCCACCAGGAACAATCACACCCCCTGCTCAACACAGCAGTAACCAAGCAGAGGGTCAACTTTAAGGAAACCCAGATAACGGGGCTGATAATGGCAGTATCTTCCCACCTGGAGGGCCTGGAGGTGCCAAATGTATCAGCCTGCCACTTGGCCCAGGCTGCCTGCCACTTGGCCCAGGCTGCTCCCAGGCTCAGAACTCCAGGCCCTTACACATGGACATTTCACTTCCCTGGAGAGGTTTCAGCACCTGGTGCGGCCAGCCAGCGCAAACCCAGCCCCCCCAGGGCCCCACTTTCAGTGGCACCGTGACGGTAGGGTGTGCTGGCCCAGGTGAGACTAGAGGAGAGAATGGGGCGATGCCCCCCATCTTGGAGGAACGGGATCCCCTTCAACCCCCAGGAAGGGTCCCTAACACAGAAGGAGGTGGAGGCAACTCTTCCCACCACTTTCTCCCTGACTCACACTAACACTGTGGTGATCCACACGCTAAACCAGCAACCCTACCCCAGAGGCCCACCACTGGACGAGAGCAGGGCAGGGGCATCTGCAGTTCCCAGAAGGCAGAAGGTGCCCACCCTGGGACAAGAGCCAAAGCCCCCTCCAGGTTGGATCTGCAACAAAATTTTAAAAACCCACTGCCACAGAGTCTATTCTGACTCCTACCAACCCTTTAGGACAGGGTAGCTAGGGCAGAACTCAAGACTGCCCCCGGGAATGCAAATCTTTATGGATGTTGACTGCCTCTTCCTCCCACAGGGCAGCTGGTGGATTTGAACCTCTAGCCTTCTGTTAGCAGTTAGCAGCCAGCTGCCGTACGCACCACAGCTCCTTACTACGCCAGAAGAGGTACTGAGCCTACCTAATTGGGTCCATCAGCCTACCCGGTGCTGCTTGAGCGGATGCTGGTCCCCACTCTTCCTCCACGCTCCGCTCCTTACGCCCAGTCACTTCAGGAAGACCCTGCTGTATTCGGGGCTGGGGCTTCAAGGATGCACCCCGCGCCCCTCGGCAGCCCCGCGCCCCCAGGGCTCGTCCGGGCCGGGCCGGAGCGCCCCGGGCCGCGGAGCCTTGTGCGAGCGGTTCTCACCCAGAGGTATCCCCGCGAGGAGGGTGGCGCAGAACAACGTGCCGGACGACGAGCAGTAGAACTTGCGGGCGTCCCGGAGGAGGTGCGGGGCGCGCTCGTTCATGCAGCGGATCACCCCTAAGTAGTAGAAGCCCAGGAAGCCGCTGCCCGCGAAGGACAGGTGCCAGCCGACCTCGGGGTCGTACATTGCAGCGGCGCGTCGGAAACCCTCCGCGGCCCCGCCCACCGTCAGCGAGCTCTTAAACCCGCGCCCTCACCGCGGCCCGCCGTGACGTCACCCTCCCGGCCCCGCCTCCGCTCTTCTCTGCCCATGCAAATGAGCCAGCTGGCAGCCCAATGGGCAGGCAGGACACCACCCCCTTCCCCAACCCAGCGCGTCCTTCGGGGCCGTGGGCGGGGCCGAGGGCGGAGAGGGCGGGGCTGAGGGCAGGGCAGGGCAGGGCAGGGCCGGGGCCGAGGGCGAACCCGGGGCGGGGCGAGAGGCCAGGCACCTCCCGCCTTCACAAATCCAAGGATAATGCGTGTCCCAGACAGAAAGGCTATTGCAGTGGAGTCGGATCCGAGCCCTAGCGACCCCTCCTTGGGTTTCCGAGGCCCTATCACTACGGAAGTAGATTGCCCAACCTTCCTTCCGAGGAGTGGCCCTTTTCTGTTCCTTGTCACTCCTTAAATGAGAGAGAAAGTCTCAGGTACTTCATACCTTTGCATTCGGTAACCTGCCTTTTTCCAAATGGGGAGCAGGACTTGGACAGCCACGTATCTAAGTGGAATATGAAGTCTTTACTTCCTTGTATGGCGCTCTGGAGCCCTGGAGGACCTCTGGTGGTGTAGGGCCTGAGGCACTTGACTGCTAACCAGAAGGCTGGCGATTCAAACTCACCAGCCACTCTTCGGAAGGAAGGTTGGGTAGTCTACCCCCATTGAGATACTGCCTCGGAAACCTAAGGAGGGGTCGCTATGACTCGGGTCCCACTCGACAGCACATAACAACAACATGGAGATCTGCTGGCGTAGTGCCTAAGGCATTTGACTGCTAACCAGAAGGTTGGGGGTTCAAACCCATGGGTCACTCTGCGGAAGGAAAACTACTTCCGTAGAGATTTATGTAAAGATTTCTTGTAGCTGTTTGTTGAATTGCCTTCCATTCATGGCAAGTGATAGGGATTTCTCCTTTATGGTAGTGACTCCAAGTTTCCACTGTAAAGTTTCACTTATAAGTAAACATGAAGGAAGCTCTGGTGGCGTAGTGCCTAAGGCACTTGACTGCTAACCAGAAGGCTGGCTGGGCAATCTACTTCCGTAGCGATACCACCTTGGAAACTCAAGGAGGGGTTGCTATGAGTTGGAATCCACTTGATGGCCGTCAATTTGGTTTGGTTTTGATGAACACCTGGTGCTAGAGGACAAAGGGTCTTGGGGAACCTCAGGGCCTGATGGTGCCCACACTAAGCGCCTGCTTCCCGCACTGCACACAGCATTTCTGGTGCAACCCTTGCAGCAGCCCGCACTCAGAGGTTAGTCACTGGCCTCTAGTTACACAGCCGGTAGGTAGCAGGAGTGGGCATTAACCAACTGAGTGAGTAGCTTTAACCAGCAGAGATTTGTTTCTGAGTTTGTTGTTAGGTTCTGCAGAGTGGCTTCTGACTCGTAGCTACCCTCCTTCAACAGAAAGAAACACCACCGGGTCCTGCACCATCTTCACAGCTGTTGCTACGTTTAGCCCATTGCTGCAGCCACTGTGTCAATCCATTTCCTCGATGGTCTTCTTCTTCTTTGTTCGAAGGAGCATGGCGTCCTGCTGAGGCACCAGTTCCTCAGAACAAGAGGTAAGAAAAGTACAAAGTGAAACTTTTTGAAACACAGCATGTGGCCAGGAGGCTAGCTGGCATCAGAAGGAAGCCACCAACATCAGACTGCTGACCCATAAAAAGCTAAAGGAAACCGTATGTGTAATGCAATTCTGATGTAATCCCTTAAGAGTAAACAAGAGTTTGGAAAACACATGGTCAGACAGATGTGATGGAGTCCCTGTCTCTTGTCTCAGATCATGCACCAGCTCAGTAAAGGCATGGTCTTCACCTCAGTGTGTCTTTACTGACTTTCATCATGCTGGACAAAAGGCCAGCGTTTTGTGGGAACACTTCTCCGGGGCCTGGTCCCCCCGACAATGGGCCCAAGGTAAGTGACACAAAGGTTATCCATTCCCCTTTCTAAGACGCATTGGCGCTATATTTCTTCCAAGGCAGATTTGTTCATTCTGGCAGTCCGTGGTATATTGAATGTCCGTCACCATAATTCAGATGCAACTATTCTTCTTCAGTCTTCTTATTCATTGTCCAGCTTTCCAAGGCATATGAGGCCATGGCTTGAGTCAGACACACCTCAGTCCTCCAAGTGACATCTTTGGATTTTATCACTTTAAAGAAGTCTTTTGTAGCAGATTTGCTCCATGCAATGTGGTGTTTGATTTCTTGACTGGTGCCTCCATGGGCATGGATTGTGGATCTGAGTAAAATGAAATCCTTGACAACTTGAATCTTTTCTCTGATTGTCGCGATGTTACTCATCAGTCTGGGTGTGAAAGTTGGAAATGCCAGTTCTCAGGCTCGATGTCTGAATTCAGGGCACTGGTTCTAGGGAAGGCTGTCTCCCTGTCAGCTCTGGGAGAAGCCCTTGTCTCTTTTCAGCTTTTGTTTCTCGTCTCCTTGGTGATCATCATGTGGTATGACATCTGCCTTCCTCCATCTCTGCTTGCTGCTTAATCTCCTTTAATATCTCAAAAGACACTGACTTAAGACATACCCTACACCAATATTGATTCATTTAACATAACAAAGAAAACCCATCCTCAAATGGGCTTATGACCATAGCTATAGGGGTTAAGATTGACAACACATATTTTGGGAAGACACCATTCAGTCCATAACACCCTCAGTCCCAGACCAACTAGGACAGCTGGGCAACCCTAACTCAGGGGGCATTTGTTTGTACTCTTGACTTGACCTTGCAAACGTCCTAGGCCTAACTGCTCTCTCCCAGGTCTTCAGCAAACTCTTGTGATGATCTTATTGGCTAGGAGATGGCCAAACCACTGGCTCAGGGACCTAGGAGGAGACACAGAGAATGAGAGACCAGCTCAGACTGGAAGCAAACATACGTCACCACAGCTTTCATGAAACGGAACAGGTAGATGTTATGGGTGCTAGCGTTGGCTTCCTCTGCAGAACTAGAAATGAACAGAGTTGCCGGCTCTGACACCTGTCCTCAGTCTGTTTGAATTTAACTCAGCTGCCACCATGAGGGAGGAGGAGATAGGAGTACTCTCCCACAGCTCAGGGAGAGCTCAGACGAAAAGTCACACTTCAACCACAAGACACAAAAACGAAACTAAGGAATCTTCTACTTACAGGTCTTCGGGGGAAAAAGACACACTCATGGCCACAACACATGCCAGGAGGTCAGGGGTCGAGAGAGAGAGAGAGAGAGAGAGAGAGAGAGAGAGAGAGACTGGACCTGAACACAGCCTTTATTAGGTCTTGAGGCTGAGGC